GGAGGGTTTAGCATCACACAGGACTGCAACTAAATGGAGAAGAAAAGCAAAATTATGTCTCCACAAAATATGATATAACTTTCTTTTTTAAAGAATATAAGAGAAATGGAAAAAAGAATATAATTGGGACCTACAGATATACCGTTCTCATTTTCTGAAACAGATAATCCAGCACCTAGTTTTTTAAATGCTCTCTGATGTTACGTACACTCGATATTAAGCTGGTAATAAATGTAGCATATGTTTCCTATTTTTTTCAAATCACAAAGGAATGCAGAATACAGAATTTTCATTCACAGATTTTATGTCCCCTGACACATTATATTATTTTTTCCCATCCTCACACGTAAACACCATGTTTTTAAATCAGTCTGCAGCAATGACAAACATATCGTTGCACAACCATGGCGCAACCAATTCATCGTTTCATTGATAAAATATCAAGAATACGAGACACACATCTCCTGATCTGTAGTGGCAAATTTTATATTAGAAGTTTTTCTTTTAAATGAGCTTTCCCATTAAGACACCACATTACTGTCCCCACTTTCTATATATTACATGAAAAGTACTGAGTGGACACTTTGCTCATTGCTTTACTGCTGTTTTGAGTGCTGCAAACACTCACAACAGTAGCGTTTTGGTTTAGGATTGTATTGCAATGTCTGCAGAGGTTTCATACCTGCCTATAGCTCCGCAATTATGCTACTCATACTATATACACACCGCTTAAATATTTATGCTTAGAGTGTGATCAGCATATCATATCTGTTAGGGCTATAAGAATTTTTTTCACGTTTCACAGCAGCCTATTGATGGCTTTGTTGTCAATTTCAATATTTATTTCCTGCGTGCAAATTTTGGCTCACATAAAATTTGGTCTTAGCTTATTTTAGATAATTTGAGTTCACGCGAACAAGCATGAAACCGAATCTTACAAGGCAGAGCAGTTGGCTGCGTGGTGGAGAAGCTGAAAGCTATCAGAAGACCAAAAGAGTAAATCGTCGGTTCATATGCATGTAGAACCAATGTCAAGCGTTATCATGTACTGCCTTTTTGTAGCTGAATAATATATTCAAACAGTGCGAGTCTATCCCAGAAACTCACGTAGGTAAATAACGTTTCGATTAACACTTCTTTTATTATGTTGCCAAAAGCGCAGTGTGCATCAGATGAATTCAAATTACATCATGAACATAAGGTCACGTGGTTGCATAAACTAGTTCCATAAATTGATGTCATATTTCCTGGAATGGCACATTATGTGTGAGATTCACAAACAAATTTTCTTTTCCAATAGGCTTGGTGGCTGTGTAAAGCATCTACTATGAGTAGCTTTAGGAGCCATTTCAGGTCGCCGACGCCAACAAACTCTCCATAAGTACCAGTGAAACATAGCCTATATGATAGCAGCATTGTTCCTCCGATGCAAAGTATGTAGGAGCTCTAGGTCTTCATCTTTATATGTTTAAAACTGTGCAGTAACGGCTATAAATAAAAATACGCAAAAATCTAACATATGAGCATATCGAAATTCCCCAGATATGGCCATGGCCATACAAGGCCTTATAAGACCTTATAAAAGGATCTCATATAAGGGCATAATAAACATTGGGCAGATATGGCCATATAAGGCCTTATATATAATATAGGACCTTATATGTTCATATCTGCCTAATTGTTAATATATCCTTATTTGAATTTTTTAAATAGGTCCAGATATGGCATTTTTGTAAGGGAAAGCACACTCCGTATTTCGACGAATCTTGACCAATAAAAACACAGTGGTGTGACATAACAGCGAAACCTCATTCAAATGTTTATTGTGGATAGTGGAATTCGCTGAATGAGATGCAAAGACGCGGCCCGTCGAGGCGAAACAAATAATTTTACGCATTTTTCTGATGAATTCCAAAGATGCAGTGCATTTTGACGCATTCCCACCCCTTGAAGTGAACATAAAGCTTGAGTAATACACTTTAGAGTTCTGAGACATGCGCTGCTCAGTAGCACAGGGACGTAGCGTGTAAATATTGCTTCAGGTTGGAGGTCGCTGCTGTTTGCGAAAAGAGCGCAGCACGCAGTGAGTATAAATGTTATTGTTATGACGGTGTATATAGGCACACGTTCCAATATATATATATATATATATATATATATATATATATATATATAACATTGAGATTCAAAAGAATATAATGCCAAGGAAAGTTCAGGAAAGTTTATAAGACCAAATTGTAACGAAAATGTGAAGAAAAACGGATGAAGGTGAGCTTCTTATGTTTGACACAATTATTATAGCGATGTAACAGACAATAACGCCAAGGAAAGTATAGGACAAGTTATTAGGCCTAATATTGTAATTTATATCTGAAGAAAGAAAAGTGGGCCGTTTCTTTATCACAGCTGAGTATTTTGACCATAAAACTTTTCTTTTGAGACTGCGCGCTGCTGAATATGTGTAGAAATGAAAAAGCGATCTGTTCATATATACTGTTATTACTTGTCATCTGCAACGCGTATATTTTACAAATCAACTATCTTTGTAAGAAAACAACTATGCCATTTGTAATGCCGCGACGTACACGTGTATCCCGTAAAGCCGCATCACTTGCGAATGACGGACACAGGGTGATATCACACAGTGCTGTATAGATATATTTTTTGTCAGTGAACACCATTTTTGTGCTGATACAGAATAGCCTTGTTCGTTACACTAGGGCACGTGTTTTTTGTGGGCCTTGACTATTCACATACACAAGTGCGCGAGTTTTTATGCTCTGTATTCCCAGACGAAGGCCGGTCCCACGGCCGAAACGTCGGACTAAACAGTGTTGAAACTTTCGTTGTGATATATATATATATATATATAATATATATATATATATATATATATATATATATATATATATATATATAATACAGCGTGGAAAGGACAACGGAATTTTCTTGAAAGCGAATGTTTTCGGCTGGTGGAGACCAACTTTTGTCAGAGTAATGCGAGAAGCATCATTTCTGTAGATTCAAGAACAGGCCGATCACCAGCACGTGTAACCAGTTCACATGCACCTGCAGAGTTACAGTTTCAATTGCGATTCATGCAACGTATTTTCCTTACGTGACGTGACACATGTCACATTATTCACTACGGTGATGTAATGGTTACACTATACACTTGATGACGGACAGGTGCAATTTCACGAACATATAATAAGGGTTACTAAGTTTAAAATGCATAACATTCTGAATTTGGTAACCCTTACTATTGGTGCACGAAATAATTTCTATCTATTACTAAGCGTAGAGTGTAGTGCTCAAATGTTGTTCTGAAAGTCGCGAGATCGAATCCTGGCCACCCCTAGCGACCGCACTTTGGATCGAGGCGAAAATGCTTGAGGCCCGTATACTTATGTTTAGGCGCACGTTAAAGAATACCAGGTGCTCGAAATTTCTGGAGCACACAACTACAGCGTCATTCATAATCATATATGGTGCTTTTGTAATATCCAACCCCAACAAATATAACATGCCACATAAAACACGCAGACCCGACTGAAGCACCTTTAAAAATTCGTTTCAACAATCACTGATCACATGCAAAATCTCAACCAAACTTTCCACTACCTAAACAGGTAAACATGCCAGGTCACGCATTTAGCAACCTCAGTGTAACGACAAAATAGAATCTGGGTTTCATACTAGTCATGAGCCCGAGCTAAGCGAACCGTACCTCATTCATAAATTTAACGCCTCCTCTGGGAATCAACGAAAAAGTAACCTATAAAACGCTAAATTAGGAGCGAAGATGCGCTTAATGCCCACTGTAGCGCCTGTATTGCAACTTTTTTTAGTCTTTTTAGTTAAATTTTATTTCAAAAGTCTTTTATCACACATGACTTGAGTTAACGCTCATTTGTCATCGTCGCTATACTCAGATTGTACTTATACCGTCCCGCGTTGTCACCGCACCTGTGCATATGCAAGTCCTCTGACTACTCATAATTACGGTACAAAGTATAATTATCGAAGTCTTGAGCTGTATGCTGTACACTATCAATATTCGCGTTCTTTTGTGTTTTGGAACACATCATAATTAATAGATTTGATGGGCATTCTAGTTCTAATAAGCGCAGATGGCGCTGTCCTGTTTTTGAAAATATACTTTTAAAGCTTTGTATGAGCTGTTCTCGCATTGACGACGGCTCGTCGACCAGTCGATATAAATATATATATATATATATATATATATATATATATTGAGAGACGTCACCAAAAACAGTTTTTTAGAAGGGGATACATATTTTACCCTAATTTACGGCAACCGAAGCTAGAATCTTCATAATATATATATATATATATACATATATATATATATATATATATATACATATATATATATATAAATATATATATATATATATATATATATATATATATATATATATATATATATATATATATATATATATATATATATATATATATATACTCCTTTCCCAGAAGCAGGAAACGGCTGTTAGTTGTTCTAGCTTCGTATGCAAACATACTTATTTACAACTTTTAGGAATAGTTCCACTTAGCCTAACTTGTTTACATTGTTTTTTTTGTGATAAGCAGTTGTAAAATGCTTAGGCTTCCCAAAGGTTTACCGTTACTTTCAGCAATATTGTTTTCCGATGCTACTGAGCATGTGTGGTCAATCACGCACGTGCGCGCGCAGTCAGTAGCAGGTGAACGTTATCGCTACAACGGTAACTCAGTTGTCTTTCTTTCTACAACAGCGCTGACCAGCGAATATCACTAACGCTGGTGCTCGTCTTACGCAGTGTTCTCAATAGTGGCTAAATTTAACCTTCTATAGTGTTCGACCAAAACATCTCCGTTAAATTGTAACCCCGTTGCATTTAGCATCAAACGTTGGCAATAAAAATGCACTGATGGTTGGTAGGCTGGATGACACGTGAATCGAAAAATAAGAGCTTTGAAAAATAGAAGCTTACGTTTGAACGCCCACTTCTCGAGCTTGCGCAGCCCGAAAACGATCTTAAGCAGCGACTGGGCGCATCGGATGTCAATGCCGACGTCGCCAATTTCGAGCAAGTACGGCAACGCTTGCCGGAGCAAGTTGTCCACCTGTCCACGCAGACCTTTGTCGTAAGTCTGCCACAGCTCCAGCACGCTGGCCTCGTCGTGGGAGATGTTGCCGCCTCCGTTGGTTCCATCGCCGGAAGGCACCAGATAACGATGGGTGAACGTGCGGTTTCCCAGGAGTGACGCCGTGTCTTCCTCCAGCACGGGCCGAATGTCGATGGCGCGCGCGCAACGGGTCACCAGTGCCACTGTCAACGCCGCTGGCATCACGATGGCCGCAAAAACGCCGCGGCACAGGCAAGATCGCACCATGTCTGAGCTCCTGACCGTAATATGGGCTTCTCGCTTATTTTTCCTCGTCAGAGTCCGTCGAAAAACAGGAAGGCTGGGCAGCACTGTCCTCCCGTGGTGAGGCGTTGAACGTGCTCCAATTATGTGCAGTAGGCGATCGGTTCCTGCAATGACAGTGTGGTGGGATCAGTCTGCGAAGAGGCTGGTCGTTCGTTGAGAAATCCTTCGCACCACCAGATGCACACGCAGAAAGGCAGGGCAGGAGAGGACCTAGCCGGGCACACATGAATGCACGTCGGCGCACGCGTGTCGCGTCAAGACATTGCTGATCCCAGCGATATTACTGGCTGGTTTTAACCCCACTTCGCACTGTTGTGAGGTTACCGGCACATTTGGTGTCCGCGCTCAGTAGCGCTGGCGTCGTGCTGTGAGGTCGGTTTCAAGGTCCGTGCGTAACGCTTCCGCTGTCTCTTCCTGTTGCAGCGATTGACAGAGCAAAACAGTCGTGTTAGGAGCACTCGCGCGCGCACTAGTATTCGGCAGCCGCGGCTACTGCACTATCTGGGAAAACGGCAAGAGGCACCCCGTCGTGCGGCGCAATGCAGCGGTGTGCGCGAATACGAGGGCCGGTTTCTGCAGAGAAGGTATTTTCCCTTCCTTCTGCATTTCGAGGGGGGGGGGGGGAGGGGATTGCGCGCTTTCTCTGCTCTTTTGTTTCTCTGATTTCCTGGACTCGGCGACGGTCCCTTCCACCTCCAGTTTGGTCGAGACGGCGACAGCAGCTAAAGCCGGCGACCACGACGGCGGCGGTGGGAGGCCGCCACGCAGCCTTCAAGTGCTATCCGCGGGGGTTTCCTCGTCACGTGAACACCATTCTAAGGGCGCGCACCACTTTCGCGTACATGCTGGGTCTCTGTGCGCCGTGTAGTCGCCACTGGTTGTTGTCTTGAAGAGAGCCGCCGCCGCCGTCTCATTCGGCATTGCAGGCTGTTATTGCAGAGGTGCTTGCCGCGCAGCCACCGACATTCGCACGCTCTTGCTTGCCGCGCGGCCGTCGCGGGCAAGCTCGTCTGCTCTCTTTGTTACTGAGCACTTGTTTCATCGTGGCGCGTTTGCTTCCTCAATGCCGTGACTGGAAATATGATGGTCTTTCCGACTTTAACAGTGGCGGTGGTAGCAGATACACTGCAATAGAGTCTGAGCCTGCATTTTAAGACCAATTTAGCGCAGATGTTTCAGAAGACTATTACTAGTGCATATATTTCTAACGAAAGTTAAATGTTAGATTGTACATTGAAGGAAGAAGGCCGCAATGTCGTTGTGTGCTGCGGTACGAACTCGCAATACTTATATCTCTTAAAAGGCGTTAACCGTTAACAGCTATACCAGCCGTTGATGAAATCGTCTCTCATACACGCACTGACTGGACACACAACAATGGAGCTATGAAGTTTCATATAACCGGCAAAATGCTTATCTATTCTTATTTCGAACACCCTGGAATGAAACGAAATGTATTAACTACACTTTTTTTAAACGCAACAGCATTAAAGAACTCGCTTTAGAGAAATTGGGCCGTTGGTGTTGACGTGGCCGTCATCGTTTGCGAGCGAAAAATTACCTTGTCCATAAACGAGAAACAGAGCAAGATGCAAATAAAATAAATGCAACTTTCCGGGACCGAGAGACGACTGAATACAAGCCATCTGCGCAGAAAGCAAATTTTCTACCACAGAGCCACGAGATGCGTCGAAACAGCTCAAAAAGATATTTGAATGCCATGTAGTAAAAGGCGTCTCCTTAACGCATCATATATTGCATGACAGAAATGCGGAATCGCATCACCATCATCAACTCTATCATCACCCATACCTTCACCGCATCTTCGAAGCACCAACAGTAGTCTTTCCACGCACAGACCATATCTTCAAGATAAAACGTATAACTTGTCGCTCAGCTCATTATGCTAATTCCTTCAGTACCCGAACAATAGTTGCATGGAATAACTTGCCATCCCACATTGCCATTCAAGCAGATTTCAAAACATTTCACGAACTTTTACTCAACATTTCCGACTAGATATCCACCGCGCGTACTCTCATTAAGCTTCTTCGTATGTACATCAGTGTTTAATTTTCTTGTTATCGGGTGCACGTTAAAGAACCCCAGGTGGACTAAATTTCCGGAGCCCTCCACTACGGCGTCTGTCATAATCATATAGTGGTTTTGGGACGTTACACCCCAAATATCAATCAATCAATTTTCTTGTTATCATGTGTTATGTTTTTCACGACCATTGTACACGCTTTACTTGTATTATTTATGTGTTAATTGCAAAGTTTTGTATCTTAAGATCATGCCGTCGTTTTAGTTTTTTTTCCTTGTATACTATGTTTGTTAGTGCCCTTATTATATGTTTACAGTATTCAATTTTCTATTTCTACTTATTTTTCTTTTTTTCGAAAGTATCTGGTTTTTGTTGTTGCTGTTGTTTGTATTTAGCTCGCTTCTATTATTTTGTATAATATTGATTTTACATTGTATAAGCGTACAAAGATTTGTTTCATGTGTCCGTTCCGCTATGTAATACCCCTTCGGGGGCCTTTAGGGGTATTATGAAATAAATAAATAAATCGGCCTGACTACGCCTACTGCAGGGCAAATGCTTCTCCCATGGTCCGCCAATCAGACCGGCCTTGTGCATTCCGTTGCCACGTTATAGCTGCGAACTTTTTTATCTCATTGGCCCACCTAGCTTTCTCTCTCCCCCTAACCCGCTTGCCTGCTCTGGAAATCCAGTGCAGCTATTCTTAATGACCCGGGGTTATCCTGCCTATACGTGCTACATGATCAGCCCATGTGCATTTCGTCTTTTTCATTTCAACTACGTTGTTCTTCACCCTGGTTTATTCCCTGACGCACTGTGCTCTCTTCTTGTCTTTAGAGGTTACACCTCTCATTTTCCTTTCCATCGATCGCGGCGTCGTCCTCAATTTAAGCAGAACCCTCTTTGTAAGCCTCCATGTTTTCGCTCCGTAGGTAAGTACTGGCAAGATGCAGCTGTTATATACCTTCCTCTTGAGCGTTAGTGGCAGATTACCATTCATGATTTGAGAATGCTTGCCAAATGTTATCCACCCCACCCTTATTCTTTTAGTTATTTAACTCTCATGATTTGGCTCCGTGGTTACTACCTGTCCTGAGTAGACATCTTCCTTCACCGCACCAGGCGTCAAAGGATGCTAATTGAGCAGCGAGTGGTTCTTGTAAATCCCGAAGCATTACAAAACTCTTAGACATGTTTGATCGTCATTATCATCATCAGCAGCAGCAGAGCCATCAACAATATGAACACCTCGTAGGTTCGCGTGTCGCCCTACAAACAAGTAGTGGGCCCTTCGCTGATTCGCGAAAAATTAACTGTGACATAGCATCTGTGTTAGCAATAGACATTCAATAACACCTTCAACCGGCCAACGTTGTGCGCGCAGTCGTTGATGTCCTTGCGGCACAGTTGAGGAATGCACCGAGTACCAAAGCAGGTTAGCAGTTCAGAAGATGATGCGCATTGCCGATTGCCCGGCCGTGGTGGTCTAGTAGCTAAGGTACTCGGCTGCTGACCCGCAGGTCGCGCGTTCAAATCCCGGCTGCAGCGGCTGCATTTCCGATGGAGGCGGAAATGTCGAGGCCCGTGTGCTCAGATTTGGGTGCACGTTAAAGAACCCCAGGTGGTAAAAATTTCCGGAGCCCTCCACTACGGCGTCTCTCATAATCATATGGTAGTTTTGGGACGTTAAACCCCACAAATCAATCAAAATGCGCATTGCCGATTACGCTATATATATCGCGACTTACTCTTGAAAGCGAAGCTCGAGCGTCCTCTAATATTCAGTCGGGACAGTCTGGTTCCTGCTATGTCGCAGCACAAAATGCGTCTAAATTTATCCTTTCTGAGCTTGGGTCCCGGGTTTCAGATCAGATTCTCGTTCATTTTTCTGGGTACACTACGTCGCGAAGGCACTTGCAAACACTGTTACCACCGCTGCTTCTGTTCACACACCTGTGCAAGCTAGTGCAACCCAGCTAAGTATCCCGCTACGTCACACTCGAATTCGTGCGACGTTTGGATGTGCAATAAAACTCTTGTCGGCGCATGGCACACATTGGTTACAACTTACCAGCGTGAACGGGCAGTTCAAGATGTAAAGGACACGTGCATGGCCTATCCAAGCTGAGGTAAGCCACGATACGTAAAACCGCTCTGCAGCACAGGTGAAGTCAGAGTAATAAAGCACTTTTCAAAAATGAAAACACCACGAAGTCGCCGTTAAAAACAACGCATCCAACCACCAGCTTTCCTTCGCCATAGCGAAGCGAGATCACGTGATCCAACCATGAACGTCACAGCGATTTCAGCGCTCGCGCCTCCAGTGGTGAGCCTCGCGCCCAATACTGGCTTTCTTTCTCCTCAAAGGTACATAGAATAAGTAAATCGTCCGCATGCCACAACTGTATATTTCAAATCAAGAGCAGCTAGTCGCATTACTGTGAGTGCCTAGGTACGTGAAATAAGTTTGAAACCGTTTACAAGCTACCCGAGATCTACTTGATATGCCGTTGTACAAGCGTGGCTATTATGGTTTGTGGCTTTCTTTATGGAACGGTCAAGCTTGTATCAACCACAGCGTATCCTATGCCAACTGCAGTACGAATGCGTCTCCTGACGATCTCAAGGTTACTTTGAAGTGACATGCACGGCTGATTGCACTTAACTCCTGCAAATATCTTAGTGTGATCACACCCCCGAATACACTCTCTGCCGCAATTGACAGTGTTTACCAATCCTTGGTATCTATTCCGTCGCTTTCACTGACCATCGGTTATCTGCCCAACCGGTTGTGTGACACGGCTATGCCCACTCGTTCCTCTCAGTGCCGACATCGGATGTTCCTGTTTATTATATTATCCACGCGGCTCTTTTAGTGCCTCTCATCGTTACGACTACGCCATTTTTCATTGCTTCGCAAGCTGCGTGATCCTGAATTTATTTTCGGGTTTTATGCTTCGCAGACACTAGAACCGGTAGAAGGCGATAGTTATACTCTTCACGGTGAATTTTCTTTTCATGCTTTCAGCTCTACTCGTGCAATTAGCCTAGCTATACAAAAATCATTGCGCAAATTGTAAGATGTGTTCACTGATCGTGTATTATGGTCCTTTCGCCCAGCTATTGACAATGATATTTGTCTTCGGCAAATTAATTGCTAGCCGTATTTTTATACTTTTATAATTCAAAACTTCAACCATCTTTCTTTCTCTTTTTTTGCAGTTGATTACTATGATTGCATGGTAGAGAGTGAATCTCCCGGTGTAGCCTCTAATTGATTAATATAATTTCTTTGCCTCTCTTATGAAGTAGCAGGCTAACTATGAAATACTTGCAGATGTTGTGTAGTGTATTTCGATATATACCAATGAGTCCCTGGTGACAGAATCCCTCAAAAACTGTTAATATTTCTGTTGAGAAGAATGCTTGTTCGCAGTCTACGAAAGTAATCTGTAGAGGTTTGTTGCACTTGGCACGTTTGCAAAGTTACATGATTGATA